TGCAGTAACTTCTTCCACTGAAGTCTTACACCACTCAAAAGTCATCCATGAGAGTTGGAATCATCTTCCTCCAAACTCCTTTCAAACATGTTGCTGTTTTGACTTCTTCACATGAATCACAATGTTCTGAAGGGCATCTAGAATTATGAATCCTTCCCAGAGGGTCTTCAATTTAGTTTTCCCAGATCCATCAGGCCATCCCTATCTATGGCAGCTATAGCCTTACAAAATATATTTCTTAAATAATAAGACTTGAAAGTTGAAATTACTCCTTGATCCATGGGCTACAGAATGAAATGCTAGGAGGCATGACAACAACATGAATCTCATTGTCCATTTCCATCAGAGCTCTTGGGTGAGCAGGTGCATTGTTAGTGAGTAGTTATATTTTGAAAGGAATCTTTGATTTTTTTCTGAGCAGTATGTCTCCACAGTGGGCTTAAAATATTTAGTAACCATGTTTTAAACACATATGCTGTAATCAGGCTTTGTTGTCCCATTTATAGAGTATAGATAGATTAGATTTAGTATAATAATTAAGGGCCTTAGCATTTTCAGAATAGTAAATGAGCATTGGCTTCAACGTATAGTCAACAGCTTCATTAGGTTCTAAAAAGAGAATAAACCTGTCCTTTGAAGCTTTGAAGCCAGCCATTGACTTATCTCTATCTATGAGTCCTAGAGAGCATCTTCTTCTTAGAGAAGGCTGTTTCATCTATACTGAAAACCTGTTGTTGAGTATGGCCACCTTCATTAATGACCTGAGCTAGATCTGGATAACTTGCTGTAGTTTCTACATCAGCACTTGCTGCTTCGTTTTCATGTTCATCTCTATTTCTGTTATGGAGAGGGCTTCTTTCCTTAAATCTCATTAATCAACCTCTGCTAGCTTCAGACTTCTCTTCTGCAGCTCCCTTACCTCTCTCAGCTTTTGTAGAATTGTAGAGAGTTAGGGTCTTACTCTGGATTAGGCTTTGGCTTAAGAGAATGTTGTGGCTGGTGTCGTCTTCTATCCAGACCACTAAAACTTTCTCTATATCAGCAGTAAGGCTGTTTTCATTTTCTCATCATTTGTGTGTTCACTGGAGTAGCACTTTTAATTTCCTTCAAGAACTTTTCCTTTGCAGTCATAGTTTGGCTAACTTTGGGGCAAGAGGCCTAGCTTTTGGTTTATCTCAGCTTCCTCACTAAGTTTAATCATTCTAGCTTTTTGGTTAAAGTAAGTGATGTGTGATTCTTCCTTTCATTTGACTACTTATATGCCACTATAAGTTATTAATTGACCTAACTACAATATTGTTGTGTTTCAGGGAATTAGAACACCCCAGGAGAGGGAATGAAAAGGGGAATGACTAGTCAGCAGGGCAGTCAGAACACATACAACATTTATTAAATTCACTGTCTTATCCAGACACAGTTTGTAGAGCTTGAAAACAACTACAGTAGTAACATTAAAGATCACTGATCACAGATCACCATAACAAATATAATAATAGTGAAAAATGTTGAAATATTGTGAGAAATGTTGAAATATTGTGAGAATTAATAAAATATAACACAGAGATACAAGTGAGTAATGCTTTTGAAAAAATTGCACCCCAGATATACTCAACACAGGGTTGCTACAAACCTTAAATTTGTAAAAAAACACTATCTAGGAAGTGCAATAAAGTCAAGTACAATTAAAATAAGTGATGCCTTTATTTAAAAACACTAAATACTAGACTCTAGCTATAGGTTGTATTGCCTAACAAATACATTTTCTAGTAGATGTTCTTGGTCCCAAGAATTGTGAGAGGCAATATGAATGCTTTGGTTTTGCTGGTCCAGTCATAAAAACAATAAATTGTCAGCCCAATTAATGGTGGATTAGATTGTATTCCTATGCCAACAAAACAGCCTTAAATTAAACATATAGTTTGCTGCAAATTAAGCAGCAAAATATGAGACACAACACTATTTACAGATGACATGATATTATACATAGAAGACTCTAAAGATTCCACTGTCTTTAGATTCAGCAAAGTTACAGGATACAAAATCCATACCCAGAAATCTATTGCATTCCTATATACTAACAATGAACTAGCAGAAAGAGAAATCAGGAAAACAACTCTATTTACAATTGCATCAAAAAGAATAAAATACCTAGAAATAAACCTAACCAAGGAGGCAAAAGACCTATACCCTGAAAACTATAAAGCATTCATGAGAGAAATTAAAGAAGACAAAAATAAATGGAAATCTATCTTGTGCTTATGGATAGGAAGAATTGATATTGTCAAAATGGCCATCCTGCCCAAAGCAATGTACAGATTGAGTACAATCCCTATCAAAATACCAATGGCATTTTTCAATGAACTAGAATAGTACTAAAATTCATATGGAACCACAGAAGACCCCAAACAGCCAAAGCAATCCTGAGAAAAAAGAACAAAGCTGGAGGTATTACACTTCTTGACTTCAAACTATACTATGAAGCTACAGTAAGCAAAACAGTATGGTACTAGCAAAAGAATAGACCCCTAGATTAATGGAACAGAATAGAGAGCCCAGATATAAACCCACAATATATGGCCAATTAATGTACAATAAATGAGCCATGAATATACAGTGGGGAGAATAACTCTTCAATAACTTGGTGTTGTGAAAACTGGACAGCTACATGTAGGAGAATGAAACTGGTTACTGTCTAACTCTATACACAAAATTAAACCCAAAATAGATCAAAGATTTGAATGTAAGATATAAAACCATAAAACCCCTAGAAGAAAACAGATAAAAATCTCTTGAACATAGTATGAGCAATTTTTTCCTGGATACATGTTCTCAGGCAAGGGAAACAAAATAAAACATGAACAAGTAGCACTACATCAAATGAAAAAGCTTCTGTACAGCAAAGGATACCATCAGCAGGACAAAAAGGCATCCTACAGTATGGGAGAATATATTTATAAATTCATCTTATAAGGAGTTAACATCCAAAATATATAAAGAACTCATATGCCTCAACACCCAAAAAACAAATAACCAGATTAAAAAATGGGCAGAGCACCTGAGCAGACATTTCTCCAAAGAAGAACTACAGATGGCCAAGCAGGCACATGAAAAGATGTTCCACAGTACTAATCATCATGGAAATAACAATCAGAACTACAATGAGATATCACCTCACACCAGTTAGAAAGGCCACTATCCAAAAGACAAGAAATTATATGAGTGTTGTAGAGGATGTGGAGAAATGGGAACCCTCCTACATAGTTGGGGGGAATGTAACTGGTACAACAGTATGAAGTTTCCTCAAAAAACTAGAAATACTTGACACAGTAATTCCACTTCTAGGAATTTACCAGAAGAAAACAAAATCTCTGATTCAGAAAGACATATGTAGTCCTATGTTTATTGCTGCATTATTTACAGTAGCCAAGATATAGAAGCAACCTTAGTGTCCATCAATAGATAAATGGATAAAGAAGATGTGGTACATATACACAATGGAATATTATTCAGCAATAAAATGAAAAGAAATCCTACCATTTGCAACAACATGGATGGATCTAGAGGGTGTTATGCTCAGTGAAACAAGCTAGGCAGAGAAAGACAATTACCATATAATTTCACTTATTTGTGGAATATAAAAACATAGCAAAACAATGAATAAAACAGCAGTAGACTTGTAGACACTGAAAAATGACTAGTGGTTACCATGGGTGAGGGAGAGGGGAATAAGGGGCTCACAAATTCTCAATCATAATATAGGTTGGCTGTGGAGTTAGTAGTATAGCATGGATAAATAATCAATGATTCTGTAACACCTTTATATTTAGTTAGATAGTAACTGCACTAATGGGGTTGAATATTTAACAAAATGGGTAACTGTCAAACCATTATGTTGTACATTCAAAACCACTGTAAGATTGTATATCTCTGATACAACATAAGTGGTGGTTCCAAAAATACATTTATAGGGATAAATACTTATTAAAGCTCACTAATGGAAATGCAAATTTCCATTTTCCATTTTTCTAAGTAGAATAAACCCTTAACCTGAGTCAGGTTTTGTCTGCAAATTGAAACTATCCCACTCAATTCGAAAAGATAGAGATATTTTTTAAAACTTTAGAAATATGTGGGAAAAATATATAAGTGGCACACAAGTAGTACATTGATTATTATTTTTCATGGACTGTAGTGTAGTGTATGGGCAGTGCCGTGTAGTCAGATTCAAGTCTTAGGTTGGCCTCTAACTAGCTGTGTGACCTTAGATAAATCACCTATGCAGTCTCTGACTGAATTTCCTCATTTTGGGGTAATAGCTCCTTCATAAAGTTGTTGGGAGGTTTAAACAAGAAAGTGTGTGTGTGTGTGTGTGTGTGTGTGTAGTTTCCAAAGTGGTGCCTGGCAGACAATACAGTACTAAGTAAATATTAGCCACTGCTGTTATCTAACAAATATTAGGTGCTTACTGTCAGTCAGTGGGCTAAAGGTGGGAAAATCTGCCCTGGAGGAATTCACAGCTTAGTGAAGCTCAGGACTCCACTTCTTCTCTGCTTTCTTCCCAGTTTGTTTTCTATATCTTGTACCTTACTTCCAAGAGAATAAATCAGGGTTCATAGGTTAATTGCAGTATTTAATTATTTCTCTAGTTTTATTGAGGCATAACTGATATATAACATTGTATTAGTTTTAAGTGTACAGTGTAATGCTTTTGCATATGTATGTATTGTGAAGTGATTACCATAAGTTGAGTTCACATCCATCACCTTACATAGTTACAAACTTTTTTTTTCTTGTCATGACTGCTTCTAAGATCTATAATGAGCTTAAGTCCTGGGGATGTAATGTATATAAATATACAATACAATACTGTATTGTATGTTTGAAAACTGCTGAGAGAGACCAATCTTTAATTTTTATCTGATATTTAAAGAGATGGTTAGAAAATAGACCTGCTATCTAAAGTAAAATATTTTAAAGTCCTTTGAAATTTTGTGTTATAGATGTTTGTTTGCTACTAATGAGTATGAGCAAGTTAGATATTCTATACCGGAGACTCCTCCTCACAAAACTTTTTATCAGAGGATGGGGAAGGCCAGAAGATCTCAAAAGGTAAGCATCTTTTTCTGGATGCTTGTTTTGAATTTGCTGTTTTAGTAAACACTTAAAACTTTATTTTCTATAAAGTTCTTTACTATAGATATAAAGTAATTGGCAAATTAAGCATCAACTATATTAAAAATTATTTCCTTTTAATTATTTTTTAAGTTTAACCCATATCATCATACATTGAACTATTTAAACTGTAATTCAGCTTTAAAAACAGTTCTCATAAATGCAATTAGATTTTTAATTTTAATAATTCTTAAGGTGATCAGAGTTTTCAGGAACTGAGTTTTCTTGGGTAACTTGAATTTATAATGACTATAAAGCTGGGATATACTTTATGTAGCTCATGGGAATATTTGGACTTAAGAAAACTAATTTTCAATATTGTGCCCTTTATTTTTAGTCTTGTATATGTTTCTTTCTGAACAATGACATTTCTCACATTTTTTGCTAGACAAGATGTCCAGCTTGTCCAGCTTGAAAAAAAAACCCACAGCCTAATATTTTTCTCTAATGATCAAAATTAAATTTCAGCATGGCTTATGAACTGGACTTGCTAATTTTTAATCACTGTTCATCACTTTCAGTATAACAGATATACTGAATTTTTCTCTTCTTTCCTCATTACTATAATAGACTCTTTGAATTCAGAAAGGTGATTGGAAATCGAGAAAGATGTCAGACTTTGGTTTCAAGTGATTATCCAGTATACATCAATAAGGTATGCCAATGAAAGAAATGCAGTTATAGAAATTCTTGTTTAACAAATATGTGTCAAGAATAGGTTGAATGTTAATAATAAACACTACAACATGAGTGTAGTAGAGATTTTTCATTTAGTATTTTTAAAATGTTACATGTATTCTAACTGGATAATTTTTGTAAACTATATTCATATATATTTGGGAACATACATTTAGTACTTGCCTAAGTGCAAGAAAATATTTAGCATTTTAGAAGAAGTATAAGTAATACAGGAAAGTACTCTAGTTGGACATAGCACATGAGAAGTTATTAGCAAAACAACTGTTAAATAACATCAGGAAAAAGTTACTGGATATAATTAATTGCTGAGAGAATGGTAGAAATAAAATGTTACAGAATTAGAGATGAGAATATATTTGAAACAGTTTTGTTATTAAGCAAGCCGATGTTTTTCTATGAAATATTTCTAAGTTTATGTAATTGGATACTTGAGGTATTGTTGGGGAGGAGGTAGAATGGGTAGGTTTCACATCCCTTACTGTACTTCAACTATAACTCTATTTTCCCTCTTTTATGTATTGGATATCTTTAGATTACATTTTTCAAAAGAGTTCTGCTAAAAATAAAATTTTATAAATTGGAAATCCCTCCTCTGTACCATAGAGCTGTTTCTTCTGGATTGAGAACATCTCTCTCAAATTTTGCTAACTATTTCTGTTTTCTCTATTTAAAAATCATAGGCTTAAATAAACAAATTTAAGGCATTCCAAGTAAAAATCAAAACTCTGTATCTGCTACTTTCCACCACCTGATTCCATTTGCCTCCCAAGGAAGAGTTACAGTTAAGATTTTGGGATGCATTCTTACAGATTTCCTCCCCCAGCCCTTGGTTTTTAAAAATCAAGGTATAATTCACATAGCATAAAATTCACCCCTTAAGGTTAACAGTTCAGTATAGTTGTTTTTTATTATTATATCCCCAATATGCAGCCATCACACTATCACTGTCTAATTCCAGAACGTTTTTGTCATCCGAAAAGGACCTGGGTACCCATTAGCTGTCATTTCCCACTTCTCCAGCCTCCTACCTGCTGGCAATCAATAATCTGCTTCTCTATGGATTCACATATTCTAGACATTTCATATAAATGGACTCATACAAACTTTTGTGTCTGGCTTATTACACTTAGCAAAATTTCAAGGTTCAACCATGTAGCATGTACTAGTACTTCTTTCTTTTTAACTCCCAAATAATATTCCATTGTGTGGATATATATCATATTGTTTATCCATTATCAGTTGATAGACATTTAGGTTGTTTATACTTTTTGACTATTATGAATATTAATGCTACAAACATTCATGTACAACTGTTTTGTGGATGTAGGTATTCAGTACTGTTGGATATATATCTAGGAGTGGAATTGCTGGGCCAAATATAGTATCTCTATGTTGAACTTTTTGACAAACTGCCATCTGTTTTCCAAAGTTCATCATTTTACTTTTCTACCAGCAGTGTATAATGGTTTCAGTTTCTCCATGTTCTCACTAGTATTTGTACTTGTCCTAGCCATTCTATACTTTTCCCTAATAACTCTGAGGTTGAGTGTCTCTTCATGTTTTGACCATTTATATATCTTATTTGGAGAAATATCTATGAAGTCCTTGCCTATTTTTAATTGGTTATTCTTTTTATAGTAGTTTGCTTAATTTTTAAACCTATCTTATGCATGGCTCTAAAATTGTTTTCTTACCAAATTGCCAGTTATCCCAACAGTGTTTGTGGAATTATTATTCCCTTTCACATTAGTTTGTGCCTTCTCCTTTATCAAACAATTTATTCTTCTAAAATATGTACGAAGAAAACTAAAACTATACCAGAAGGCACAAAGATGACTCAAGTATAAAGACTAGTTGGGTTAAAAATTTCATATCATACGAATAATAGGTCTCTTTACCATTTTCCAGAAATGGAATGCAATTCCCATTAAAATGTTCAGTTTAGAACTAAAGTTCATAAAAGGATCATAAAAGTATTTTGGGAAGAACCACGGGAACACAGTCATATCAAGAATACCTGAAAGGACATAGTGATAAGTAAAAACTAGTTCAGTTATCAATGGGTATTATAAAGCTTCAGGTGATCAGCACAGTGAGATACTTTCAGAAATAAGAGACAGGCTAATAGGACTCAATACAGGGTTGAAAATAAGTTGCTAAAATTTATGGAAACTTCATGATACAGTAGCATATTAAGTCATTTGTAAAAAATGTGGATTATTTGATAAGTGATGTTGATAAACTGGCTAGAATTTGTTTTTTAAAAAGCTAGATATATATATATATATATATATATATATATATANAGATTCTGAGTGTCCGAGGTGCTGAGAGGTGGGGTGCTGTGGACTTTGTACCACAACCCTGGGCATCTCTCCTGGCTGTGGTGCCTTTCTTGGTAGCATCCAAATCTTGCGCTGCAGGTCTACTTTGAGATTCTGTTAACTGCCCAACACCCTGTAATAAGTCCTTTTCATCTTAAATGAGCTAGAAGAGACCTTAATCTATATTAATTCCACATGAGACTTTAGACAGATATTGTTTTACATTCAAACTTTTATACCATTAATTTTATCATGGATTGACAATTCTTTTTATTTAAACTCCTTTATTGCAATCCCCATTTGTCAATTTATTGCAGTGGTTTGGAAGTGAACTCACAATCTCTCTGAGGTACAACTCTACATTAAATGTAAATTTTCTAAATACACCAAATAAGGGAAAGAAATAGGCAGAGTAAATTTGAACATAACCTATCTAACAAAATTAATTCACATCAAATGTAATGATATATCATATTGAAAGTAAAATGATGGAAAAAGGTATATCCTGCAAATATTAATTTTAAAAAGCTTAGATGGTCTTCAAATAACAGAGCAAATAAAATTACCACAGACATTAAGGGATATAATATTCCAGGAGTGCATAGCTATTGTATATGTGTACACACCAAACATTAGAGCTACAAAACATGAAACAACTTTATGTATTTTCAGCTGTTTTATACTACATGATATAGACAATTATGAATTTAAAATATAATCACTGATTGTATTCTGAATATTTAAATGTTTATATAATTTTCCTGGCATATTCACTAGGTTATAGTATTATTTTATTCTGGTATTTGATTTTTTTTTTGAGAGGGCATCTCTCATATTTATTGATCAAATGGTTGTTAACAACAATAAACTTCTGTATAGGGGAGTCAATGCTCAATGCACAATCATTAATCCACCCCAAGCCTAATTTTCGTCAGTCTCCAATCTTCTGAAGCATAATGAACAAGTTTGTAAAGAACTTTTTTATAGAAAAACATCTATGACAGACCAAGATATTTTAGTGTACATGTATATATCTTGATTTTGCTTTTATTTTAGATTGAAGAGCAGTCAGACTGTAAGATCCTAGATGGACACTTTGTTTCCCCCATGGCCCACTATGTGCCTGATATCATGCCAACTGAATCTGTTATTGCAAGGTAAGAATATTCAGAAAGCTAAAGCAGTAAGTTCTTTAAGTTTATTTAAAATAATAAAATAGTAATTGCCATGTTATTTCATATTACTTAGCATTAAGTACAATAATTTGTATTATTCCCATTAAATGTGGAGTAGGGAGAAGTGAAGTATTAGAACTTCAGTATGCATTCAAACTTAAATTATCAGCTTCAGACAGACTGTTATAAAAATAAGATATTTCATATAACCTCATGGTAACCACAAAGCTAAACCTATAATAAATACACAAAAGGTAAAAAGAAAGAAATAATGGAAAGTGTCAATGAAACTAATATTTTTGAAAAATATATACAAAACAAACAAATCGTTAGCTAGATCACCAAGAAAAAAAAAGAGAGTATTCAAATTAATATAATTAGGAATGAAAGAGGAGCCATTACAACTGTTATTACACAAATACAAAGGATTGTAAGAGTCTGAACAATTATATGCCGATCACTTGCACAACCTAGAAGAGTGTATGCTTGATCCTTGAACAACACAGGTTTGAACTGCTTGGGTCCACTTATATACAGATTTTTTCAATAAATATATTGGAAATTTTTTTAGTATTTGTGACAATTTGAAAACATAGATGAACATAGCCTAGAAATATTTTAAAAATTTAGAAAAAGGAATGTCATAAAGTCATAAAATATATATGTAGATTCAAGTCTTTATCATTTGCTACCATAAAATAAAATCAATATAGGCTATTAGTGGTTAAGTTTTGGGGAAATCAAAAGTTATACATAGATTTTTTTGACTCTTCAGGAGGTCTGTATCCCTAACCCCTGCATTGTTCAAGGGTTAACTGCATACATTCCTAGAAACATACAAATCAAACCAAAACCAAATCATGGAGAAATAGAAAATCTGAGCAGACCAATTGCTAGTAAGAAGACAGAATGAAAACTTCCCAAGAAACAAAACTGTAGGACCAAATGGCTAGAATGGTGAATTCTACCAATGGTTTAAAGAATTAATACCTATCTATCTAAAACTCATCCAAAAGATTGGAGAGGAGGGAACCCTCCAAACTGATTTTATGTGGTTACCATTACCCTTATACCAAAATCAGACAAGGACACCACAAGAAAAGAAAATTATAGATCAATATCCCTGATGAACATAGATGCAAAAATCCTCAACAAAATACTAGCAAACCCAATTCAGTAATACATTAAAAGGATCATACACCATGATCAAGTGGGATTTATCCCAGGGATACAAAGATGGTTCAACATCTGCAAATCAGTCAGCGTGATATACTATTTAAAAAATGAAGGATAAAATTCACATAATCTCACTAGACACAGAAATTGTATCTGGCAAAATTCAACATCCATTCATGATAAAAAATTCTCAATAATCTGGGTAAAGAGAGAACATACCTCAACATAATAAAGGCCATATATAACAAGCCCACAGCTAATATCATACTCAATGATGAAAAGCTGGAATCTTTTCTTCTAAGATCAGGAACAAGACAGCTACGCTCACTCATCACTTCTATTCAACATGGTACTGGGAGTCCTAGTTGGCCCAATTAGGCAAGAAAAAAAAAGCATCTAAAACAGAAAGGAAGAAGTAAAACTATCTCTATTTAGAGATGATGCTCTATTATATGATAGAGCCTAAAAACTCCATCAAAAGAATTTTAGAACTAATAAATAAGTTAAATAAAGTTGGAGGATACAAAATAAATGTACAGAAATCTATTGTTTCTGTACACTAATAACAAACTATTCAGGAAAAGCAATTAAGAAATCCATTTACAATTGTATCAAGAAGAAGAAAATACCTAAGAATAAATTTAACCAAAGAAGTGAAACACCTATACCCTAAAAACTGTAAGACACTGATTAAAGAAATAGAAGATTTCCACAAATAAATGGAAAGAATCTGTGCTCACAGATTGGAAGAATTAATATTGTTAAAATATCTATGCTATCCAAAGCAGTCTACAGATTCAGTGCAATCTCTTATCAAAACACCAATGCCATTTTTCACAGAAATAGAACAAACAATCCTAAAATTTAATTTTCAGTGCATTTGTTTACTTTTGCTTTTGTTGCCTCTGCTTTTGGTATCAGATCAAAAAAAATCTGCCAAAATTGATGTCAGAGAGCTTATGGCCTATGCTTTCTTCTAGGAATTTTATGATTTCAGGTGTTACATTTAAGTCTTGGATCCATTTTGTGTCTTTAACCACAACAGACTCCAAAGAGCCAAAAAAATCTTAGAATAAAGCTAGAGGCATCATGCTTCCTTATTTCAAACTATATTACAAAGCTGTAGTGATAAACAACAATATGGCATTGGCAAAAAAATAAAATCAATGGAACAGAATAGAGGTCCCAGGAATAAACCTACCATATGTAATCAATTTATTTATGACAAAAGAGCCAAGAATATGCAATGGGGAAAGGACAGTCTCTTCAATAAATGATGTTGGGAAGACTGAAGAGCCACATGCAAAGCATTGAAACTGGATCACTATCTTAACCATAAAGAAAGATTAACTCAAAATGAATTAAAGGCTTAAATGTAAGACCTGAAACCATAAAACTCCTAGAAGAAAACAGGCCATAAGCTCCTTGACATCATTGTTGGCATGATTTTTTTGGATCTGACACCAAAAGTAGAGGCAACAAAGCAAAAGTAAACAATGGGAATAAACTAAGAAAACAATGGGATCAAACTAAAAATCTTCTGACAGCAGAGGAAAACATCAATAAAAGGCAGCTTTTTGTTGCCAAATGGGAGAAAATAATTTTATTTTCACCTCGCACTTATTAGAATGGCTATTTCAAAAGACAAGATAGAAGTGTTGGTGAGGAGGTGGAGAAAACGGAACCCTTATGCACTGTTGGTAGGAATGTTAATTGGTGTATTTACTGTGGGAAATGTGGAGTTTCCTCAAAAGATTAAAATTACAACTACCGTATAATCCAGCAACCAACTTTTGGGTATTTATCTGAAAGAAACAACATTCTAACTTGAAAAGATATCTGCACCTCAGTGTTCATCGCATCACTATTTATAGTAGCCAAGACATGAAAACAATCTAATTGTCCATCAGTAGATGAATAGATAAAGAAATAGTGGTGTACGTATACAATGGAATATTATTCAGCCATAAAAAAACAAGGAAAGCCTCCTATTTGCAACTACATGGATGGAGCTTGAGGACATAATGCTAAGTGAAATAAGTCAGACAAAGAAAGACAAATACTGTATGATCTCACATAAGTGGAATCTATAAGTGGAACAAAACAAAAACCCTCTAACTCGTAGATAGAACAAATAGGTAGTTGCCAGAGATGGGGGATGAGGATAGGTGAAATGGGTGAGGTTGGTCAAAAGGTACAAACTTCCAGTTGTAAAATTAAGTTTTCAGGATGTACTGTATAGCATAGTGTAGTTAATAATACTGCATTGTATATTTGAACGTTGCTAAGAGAGATCTTAAAAGTTTTCATCACAAAAAAAATTTTGTAATTATGTGTGGTGACGGATGTTAATTAGACTTATTGTGGTGATCATTTTGCAATGTATACATATATTGAGTCATTACATTGTATACCTGAAACTAATAATATTTCATATGTTGATTATATCTCAATTTAAAAAAAGAGAGAAACTTTGGAAGCCAGAAATAGGAAGCCATCTAGACCTATGTAGATACTTTCCTTACCTCACTTCCCTGGTGCTTCATGGTTTCTTTTCCACTTTATGACGCCTGTCCATGTCATTTCTCTCTGGGTAGGTTAGGTTTCTGTTTCTCATGAAGCTCACAACAAATAGCAACCACAGCCTCACAGAGCCTCCATATCCAAAAATTCAATACAATCTAACAGAGTCTGTCCTAATTCCAGATTACCAGAAGAACAAATCTCCTTGTACTAATTTGACCTACACCTGGCCCAGTCAACTCTGGCAGAGGAGCTCACTTGGCCTGTACCCATTCATCATGAACAAACTGTGAGAAGATAGTATATTTTGAGCAGACAGACTGATTAATGAGCTCTACTAGATAGGTGGCCAGTTAGTACTGTAATAAAAGATTTCTGTTAACTTAAAGCTATTCTCCAAAAATGAAATTTCAACGTGTATTGACATGGGAAAAAAGGAAAATAAAAATAATAGCAGAGATATTCAGCTTTCTAGTGAAAACATTTTTAAATGTTTCCATTTTCCCCAAATCTTTGAAATACCAAGAAGCAGGCAGTGCTGGGAATAAAAAATGAAACAGAGTTGTTGACACTGGTAATTTTTTGAGATTGAAGGGTTAGTTTTCATGATCACAAAACAGAAATAATCATTGAACCTCTTAAATGTTTTTGCCTATATTCAATTCAGCAATTTATTGACAAGTGATATCATTCCTTGGCCAAGCAAAATAAGCTCAGAACTGAGGTTTATGTTGCCTGAGAATGCAGCCACCTAAGGTCAAACCTTGAACTGACAGAGTGAAGTGTTCAATTATGATAATTCTAAAATGTCGCTGCTAAGGAAATTAAAAAGATAAGTAAATCAATTTGGGAAGATGAAGGGTGGTGATCGTTGCACAACAATGTTATGTTAATGCCACTGAACTGTATACTTAAAAATAGTTAAAAAGGTAAATTTTATGTGTATTTTACTACAGATACAAAAATGATACAGCAAAAAAAACATTAAGTGGAAAGACCAAAATACTGCAATAAGAACACTAATAGAGAAATGTCGGTCCCTCCCTGCTTCTGACCCGCAGATAAGGGAGGAGACACGATGAGATATCGAAAATCTGAAAGGACCATCCAGGGGACTCTAGGCGTAACAGTGCAAGAGTGGTGCTGAGAGGGCACCCTTCATATTTATTGAGCAAATAAATGTTAACAACAATAGAATTCTGTGGGGGGGGACTTAATACACAATCATTAACTAACTCTGAACTGAATCCTCGGCAGTCTCCAGTCTCCTGGGGTGCGATGTCTTACATGGTATTGAAACAAAAGCAAGGGCAAATAGGTCACAGAAACTGTTTTGGTCTTGTTTGTTCTGTTCTTGATCACGTATCAGGAATTACAGGAAAAATAATCAAGTCATATATGATTATACATTTGATTTTTATACCTGATTTATATATTAATCCCACAGAGAAAACATGTATCAAAAATTTAATCACATGCAGTAATACACTACAAGTTGAAAAGCAAAAAAGAGAAAAAAGAGAAAAAGTTATTTTATTGATACATCATCAGCTTGTAGAGCCAAGCGTTATTCCTGCAAGGAGAAAAAAGTAGATATAAAGAGTTGGTTTTTCCTAAAACTTAATCATATATAGTGATGTATCCACAAAATGGTAATTTTAAAATGTATTTATAAAGTTGTGGTATTGAACATGATAAAAATGATTACAATAAATCCCATGTTTATAATTGAATAATATAATATCCTAACATAAACCAAATTTATGTATCTTTTTTGCCTCTGGGCAAACATTAGTTTAGTCAATTACAATTTAATGTCAAAATTCTCAGTGGGCTTTTTTCCCCAAATAATTTAATTATGAAACTTCTAAGAATTGGAAGTTTATATTAAAAGGCTTTTAAAGAGAATTTCACTGATGTGTTTTATTTTAAATAGGTTCCAATTTATTGTACCTAAAGAATGGAACAGCAAATACAGACCTGTATGTATTCATCTTGCTGGGACAGGAGATCATGTAAGACCTTATTATAACATTTTAACCCATAATTTGTTAACATACTGTCCTTAGCACTTGTGGCTGTTATATTCTTAAGTATATCATCTTTTCTTTCCTTAGCATTACTGGAGACGGCGAACACTAATGGCTCGTCCTATGATTAAAGAAGCCCGAATGGCTTCTTTGTTGTTGGAAAATCCTTATTATATCCTTTTGTGACACCTAGAAATATTTTCTGTTTATTTACTTATTGATTTAGTCATCAAAAGGAATTTTATATATACATATATATGTATTAATCAGCTTTTCTAAAGTTAAATGTAGTCATCAATTCAGAAAATAGTTAAGAACCAAGAATGAAAAAGAGTGAAAAATTATTTCATGCATTTTAAAAACCAATGTAAGGATTGTCCTTCTATTATATAATAAAGATAAATTGTATTTTTATTTCTTGTAAGACTTATGCTGCGTTTTAATATTAATAAGTCAAATGTTTGCTATTAAGGAAACCCCCTTTTTCAAATGCATTTACCTTAAAGTATCAGTTGAGGTTTAGAACAGTTCTTAACTTAATTTTCAAGATGATGTCAGACTTACCCAGAAAGGTAACTGATTCACAGATATAAAGAAATGTTCAACACTGCTGGTAATAAGAGAAATGTAGTTAAAGCAACAATTACCAAAGATTTAAAAAATAAAACAGAGTAGTCATGATTGCTGTTGTGTAAAAGGCTCTCTCATTGCTGATGAGCTTTTACCATATGCATCAGGAATCTTAAAAAAAAAATTCATATTCATAGGGAGAGTGATTTTAGTCTGGGAAATTTAAGTATAAAATACTAAGAAAAGGTAAAATGACAAAGAAAAGATATTTATGTAGTTTTACTTATGAAACATTAGAAATAGCTTAAAAATCTAACAATAGAAAAACGGTTGAGTAAATTGTGGCTCATAATACTGGAATATTATGCAGTTGGTTGTGTTGTATTTATTGCTCTACCGTCTGTATGACCTGTTACTTAACGTTTAAGTACCTCAGTTTTTTCACTGGCAAATGGGAATAATCTCTTAGGTTATTGAGAGTATTAAATAGTTAATACTGTCTACTGCAGTGCCTAGTGAATAAGCATTCAGTACATTTTAATGGTTATTATTAAAAAGTTTACAGTAATTATGAAAAAATATTTATAAAGTGAAAATAGGACATAAAACTCTATGGTATGACCTAGGTGTGCAAAAACCCTAAAAACAGAAAACCTATTTAAAAACTGGGCATAATGAAAAATACTGGGGAAAAATACCCTAGATTATTAGTACAGTTGTCTGTAAATAAGATAGCTTTTCTTCTAATATTTGGTATTTTCTAGATTTTCTGTCATAAACATTAATAAAAAAAACCAATGAACTTCATTTTAAAATTAAGTTTAAGATTGCACAACCCTGTGAATATACTAAAAACACTGAGTTGTACACTTTAAATGGGTGAATTTTATGGTGTTTAAAAAAATAAAAATCTCAATAAAAGGTGTTTAAAAAAGAAAAAAAGAAGCTGAAAAACCTGAGAACTTCAAAACAGCCTACTCTTGAGGTAACTGGAACATAGTTATTTCAGTATTATCTTCAAGTTTAATTATTAGTTAATATGTTCTGAGACACACAGTGTATTTAATTATTTTTAAACTTTCTCTTTGACCCACATTCTTAAATGGCTGCAGGAAACCCAAGGACCAAATGTAAGTATATGTTACCTTCATTTTTGCAGTCTTTATACCAAATTTCAGCAATATTTAAATTTCTGGTAGTCTTCAGTTAACTATTTTTAACTTTAAAATCCAAGAGTAACTGGAAGAAAACATTCTGTTATAGGGATATTGACATATTTTTATGTTAAACTGTTTGCATTTTAAGTGTCTAATAGGTAAATGAGAAATTTTAATAGGCTGATTAAAGATACCTTTTATTTGTAAAACTGTAACTGAAGAAATGCTAAAGTATTTTCCTTTTAAAAATACACTTACTTTGTGAGATTAAACTCCTCTGTTCTTGCCATGCAGAGTATTGGTAATCTAAAGATAAACTTCCTTTTTCTGGTATTTAAAATGATGAACTTTGAAAGCAGTTTTTTTGCAATTCCATAATCTATATATATCATGTTTGGTTTTGGTTCATTCAATTATTTGGAAAGTCAAGAACAAAAAGACAAGGAAAAAAGACAAGGACAAAAAAAAAATAAGCTCATACTTTCATAGAGCTTATATTCTAGTATAGACAAAACAAATAAACAAATAAGATAATTTCAGATATTTAGCATTGTCAAAAGAAAATAATAATAGGGGGTATGTGCAGTGTTAGAGTATTTTTCTGGTATTTAAAATGATGAACTTTGAAAGCAGTTTTTTTGCAATTCCATAATCTATATATATCATGTTTGGTTTTGGTTCATTCAATTATTTGGAAAGTCAAGAACAAAAAGACAAGGAAAAAAGACAAGGACAAAAAAAAAATAAGCTCATACTTTCATAGAGCTTATATTCTAGTATAGACAAAACAAATAAACAAATAAGATAATTTCAGATATTTAGCATTGTCAAAAGAAAATAATAATAGGGGGTATGTGCAGTGTTAGAGTGGTATTAAATATGAGGACATGATATAATGAGATGGACCCACGCAGGTGAAGAGCTCAGAGAACCTGAGAGACTGGCCTCAGAGAAGGCAGAGTAATGAGAAGCCCACTGTGAGCATAAGGGAGTGTAGTACAAGATGAGGTCAGAAAGGCAGGCAAGGGCCAAATTACAAAGAGCCACCATGCTTTCAATTTTACTATAAGTGCAGTGGGGAACCTCTGGAGGATTTTAGTCAAGGAAATGTTCTGATTTACATTTTTAAAGGCTTACTTTGGCTTAGTAAGGCAAGAATAGCAGCCGACAAACAGAAATAAGCTACTGCAGTAATGCAGGGGAAAAAAAGAGCAACTTAAGGTGGGGTCAAAGGAGATGGAAAATGGTTCAAATGGATTTGAGATACAATTTAGAAGCTGAAATGATAAGACATGTTGATAAATTGGATATTGTGGGTAGGAAATCAAAAGTTCTGACTTAGACATGTAAAATTTGTGATGTCAGTTAGATATACAAGTGGAGAGGTTAAGCTGGGAGTTCAAAAGTGCTGGAGAGGTAGATTTAGACTCACATATTCTATGTGGTCATGACATAAAGACAAGGTATAGATGCAAGGGGGTAGGGTGGAGGCAAACCTGTCTTATGAAGGATAGTTCAGAATAAACTTTGTGAAACCATGTGAAAAATTTAAGTTCAAGGTAAGAAGTTCAAGAATTCTTACTCTAGAACCAAACTCAAAATTCAGAACTAAGTGTGTCATTTTTACTGTATCTATAGGTGGTTAAAAATGGAAAAGTGTTTACTGAGTTATAGTGAGAGACAGCATGAGTTTAATAGAAGAACTCAGACATTGGAGTCATACAGAGTTAAGTTGGAACTGTAACTTACCATTTATTAATGGTATGACTGTGGGCTGAGTATCAGTTACCTCATTTATAAAGTAGTAATACTATGTAATTTCTTCCATGCAGAATTGTTGTGAGGATTATAAAATACCCTATCATGTATTATGTGCCCAGGAAATTTAATAATGCTCCATTGTATTTGATTTTTCTCAAATAATTCATTGTAAGTAAAAAGTGGCTTTTAATTTAAATAATTATAAACAACACATACATACATACACACTCTCTCAAAGCCATCTAAAGCCTATTTTCATTAAAAGTGGATAACAATTCAAAACTGGGTTCATCATAAATAACCCCTATCAAAGTACCTCATATCAGTAACTTCCAAATAAAAGAGCAAACTAAGGTGGACTTCATAATTCAGTCTTCCCTAACAAGCCAAAATAAATCAGGAGAATTGTGTGATCATAAATAGAAAATTGGAATGGAGATAAGAAACAAAAATAATGACACTTGGACTATACTTTTATGATGAAGCATGAGTATGATATTTTTTGACAAAGGATAGCAGAGTTTCCATAGAGAGAAACCCTTCCTTATGGACTCAGAGCTCTGAGAGGATATGGTATATAGGAGAGTGGATATAAGCTCTTAGGTAGCCAGAATTCTGTTTTTCACAACTTGTTATTCTTGTGGCACCTGCTTCTTTGCATGTAATTATTCTACATAGGCATATAATAAATAACTTTTTAATTTTTATCATTAATCTACAATTACATGAAGAACATTATGTTTACTAGGCTCCGCCCTTCACCAAGACCCCCCAAACACCCCATTACAGTCACTGTCCATCAGTGTAGTAAGATGCTGTAAAATCACTACTTGTCTTCACTGTGCTGCACAGCCTTCTCCATGCCCCCCCCTATATTATACATGCTAATTGTAATGAACCCTTTCTTTTTCCCTGCCCTTATTCCTCCCTTCCCACCCATCCTCCCCAGTCCCTTTCCCTTTCATAACTGTTACTCCTTGGGTTCTGTGATTCTGCTGCTGTTTTGTTCCTTCAGTTTTTCTTTGTTCTTATACTCCACATATAAGTGAAATCATTTGATACTTGTCTTTCTCTGCCTGGCTTATTTCACTGAGCATAATACCCTCTAGCTCCATCCATGTTGTTGCAAATGGTAGGATTTGTTTTCTTCTTATGGCTGAATAATATTCTATTTGTGTATGTACCACATCTTCTTTATCCATTCATCTACTGATGGACACTTAGGTTGCTTCCATTTCTTCGGTATTGTAAATAGTGCTGCGACACACATAGGGGTGCATCTGTCTTTTTCAAACTGGAGTGCTGCATTCTTAGGGTAAATTCCTAGAAGTGGAATTTCTGGGTCAAATGGTATGTCTATTTTGAGCTTTTTGAGGAAACTCCATACTGCTTTCCACAAAGGTTGAACTAATTTACATTCCTACCAGCAGTGTAGGAGGGTTCCCCTTTCTCCACATCCTCTCCAACATATGTTGTTTGTCTTTTGGATGGTGGCCATCCTTACTGGTGTGAGGTGATATCTCATTGTGGTTTTAATTTGCATTTCTCTGATGACTAGCAATGTGGAGCATCTTTTCATGTGTCTGTTGGTCATTTGAATTTCTTCTTTGGAGAACTGTCTGTTCAGCTCCTCTGCCCATTTTTTAATTGGATTATTTGCTTTTTGTTTGTTGAGGTGCATGAGCTCTTTATATATTTTGGATGTCAACCCTTTATTGGATCTGTCATTTATGAATATATTCTGCCACACTTTAGGGCACCTTTTTGTTCTATTGATGGTGTCCTTTGCTGTACAGAAGCTTTTCAGCTTGATATAGTCCCACTTGTTCATTTTTGCTTTTGTTTCCCTTGCCCGGGGAGATATGTTCATGAAGAAGTCGCTCAGGTTTATGTCCAAGAGATTTTTGCCTGTTTTTTTTCTAGGAGTTTTATGGTTTCACGACTTACATTCAGGTCTGTGATCCATTTCGTGAATGGAAGTCGTCCTTAGGGTACTTTTTTGTTCTATTGTTCTAAAGGAAGTCTTTCACTTCCTTGGTTAGGTTTATTCCTAGGTATTATATTCTTTTTGATGCAGTTGTGAACGGAATTATTTTCCTGATTTCTGTTTCTATTGGTTCACTGTTAGTGTATAGGAAAGCCACAGATTTCTGTGTGTTAATTTTGTATCCTGCAACTTTGCTCTATTCCAGTATCAGTTCTAGTGGTTTTGGAGTAGAGTCTTTAGGGTATTTTATGTACAATATCATGTCATCTACAAACAGTGACAGTTTAACTTCTTCTTTACCAATCTGGATTGGTTGTATTTCTTTGTTTTGTATGATTGCCATGGCTAGGACCACCAGTACTATGTTGAATAACAGTGGGGAGAGTGGGCATCCCTTTCTTGTTCCCAATCTCAGAGGAAAAGCTTTCAGCGTCTCGCTGTTCAGTATGATGTTGGCTGTGGGCTTATCATATAATGGCCTTTATTATGTTGAGGTATGTGTCCTCTATACCCATTTTGCTGAGAGTGTTTATCATGAATGGATGTTGAATTTTGTAGAATGCTTTTTCAGCATCTATGGAGATGATCATGTGGTTTTTGTCTTTCTTTTTGTTGATGTGGTGGATGATGTTGATGGGTTTTCGATGTTGTACCATCCTTGCATCCCTGGGATGAATCACGCTTGGTCATGGTGTATGATCCTTTTGATATATTTTTGAATTCGGTTTGCTAATATTTTGTTGAGTATTTTTGCATCCACATTCATCAGGGATATTGGTCTATAATTTTCTTTTTTGGTGGGATCTTTGCCTGGTTTGGATACTAGGGAATTGTTGGCTTCATAGAATGAGTTTGGGAGTATTCCCTCCTCTTCTATTTTTTGGAAAACTTTAAGGAGAATGGGTATTATGTCTTCTCTGTATGTCTGATAAAATTCCGAGGTAAATCCATCTGGCCCAGGAGTTTTGTTCCTAGGTAGTTTTTTGATTACCGTTTCAATTTCTTTGCTGGTAATTGGTTTGTTAAGATTTTGTGTTTCTTCCTTGGTCAGTCTTGGAAGGTTGTGTTTTTCTAAGAAGTTGTCCATTTCTTTTAGGTTTTCCAGTTTGTTAGCATGCAGGTTTTCATAGTATTCTCTAGTAATTCTTTGTATTTCTATGGGGTCCGTCGTGATTTTTCCTTTCTCATTTCTGATTCTGTTGGTGTATGTTGACTCTTTTTCTCT